CAATAGTAAGCAACCACGAAGACCACAAACAACAACGACAGCAACGATTAAACAACAAACAGCAAACAACAAACAGCACCACCAACAACAAACAAGAAACAGCAAACAACAAGCACGACAGCAACAACATCAATAATCAACAGCAGGTGTTACTACGAATACCGATACTACAACAAACAAGAGCAGACAACCAGAAGTCACAACAAACAACCATCAACAAACAGCGGACAACAAACAACAGCCAGCAAAAAACACACGACAAACAACAAACAAACCGACAAACAAACAAACAAACAAGCAAAACAACACAAAATTTGCCTGGCGAAGGACCCAACCATATGAAGTTGTGAATATCGCAATTGTGTACATATTATTCGGTGGCGCTCCTTATGGGGCCAGGAACCGCATGAGGGGCCCGAATTACGTGGGGCGGATACACAACACGAACGAAGACGATAGGTCGAATTACGAGAGACTCAGCGCGGGTGAGTCTGAACGCGGGTTAGTCTGAGTGCGAATGAGTCTGCGTGCGAATGCATATATTTGCATGAATGCGAGCATGGCCACGCTTGGTGTGTATATATATACATATACATATACATATATAAATATATATATATATATATATATATATATATATATATATATACACGTGTGTGTGAACGGTTCACGTACGCCTGCCCGAGTACTCGTGACACTGAGCGCGGCCGCCGCAGGAAGCTTCTCCTGGAACCCCGACAGCAGCGCCCGCACGCCGCGACGCCCATGTCGGCACGCTCATCATGAGGATCGCGCCCGCTTCCTTCCCGTTCTGTTATCCCTCGTTGCCCGCGCACGCCCATGTCCAGGGCTGCGGGCGCGGCGCCGCACGGAGTCCCCGCGACGCGCGTTGGTCGCCCCAGAAAGGTCCCGGCGACGCGCGCGGGTCGTCCGCTGCGCGGAGCCGAGAGAGCTACCTGGCTGGCTGATAGCGGGCAAGTCTGTGGCCGCTGGGCGACACGACGACGGGGGCGAGCGAGGCTCTGGGCAGAGCGCAGCGCGGAATTCCCGCGACGCGCGCTGGTCGCCCCGAGAGGGTCCCAGCGACGCGCACGGGCCGCCCGCGGCGCGAGGCCAAACAATCAGGCCGTCGAGAGACGGCGAGGCTCGGGCGGGCCGCTCCTCAGGTCAAGCCTCGCGGATAAACTCGGTGAAAGACAAAGTTCCCTGGCGAGGGCCGCCGCCTCCCTCCTGCATCGTTTCGTGCGCGTGGCAAACTGCTCCAGCTGCTTCCGCAAGCCCTCCGGCGGCCCTGCCAGGAAGAACTCGATGCAAACTGCGCCACTGGGGCCATAGGTGCTCCCTATAGGGCCACGAAACGTGTAAAGGGTGTGCCAAAATGGGGCGGCGGGCGGCTGCGCCTTGCGAGCGCGCCAATGAGACATCAGGTGGAGCTCCCTGTGGGGCCACGAAACGTGTAAACGGTGTGCCAACATGGGGCGGCGGCGCCATGCGAGCTGCGCCACTGGGACATTAGGTGGCGCCCCCTTTATGGGGCCACGAAACGTGCGACGGGTGTGCCAAAATGGGGCGGCGCCATGCGAACTGCGCCACTGGACCTTAGGTGGAGCCCCCTGTGGGGCCACGAAACGTGTGAGAAGTGTGCCAAAATCGGGCGGCGGCGCCATGCGAGTTGCGCCACTGGGACCTTAAGTGGAGCCCCCATGTGGGGCCACGAAACGTGCGAAGGGCGTGCCAAAATGGGGCGGCGGCGCCATGCGAGCTGCGCCACTGGGGCCTTAGGTGGAACTCCCTATGGAGCCACGAAACGTGTAAAGGGTGTGCCAAAAATGGGGCGGCGGCGCCATGCGAGCTGCGCCACTGGGACCTTAGGTGGAGCTCCCCATAAGGCCACGAAACGTGTAAATGGTGTGCCAAAATGGGACGGCGGCGCCACGCGAGCTGCGCCACTAGGGCCTTAGGTGGAGCTCCCTATGGGGCCACGAGCCGTGTGAAAGGTGCGCCAAAATGGGGCGGCGGCTCCATACGAGCTGCGCCACTGGGACCCGGAGTTCCTTATGGGGCCACGAAACGTGTGAGGGGTGTGCCAAAATGGGGCGGCGGCGCCAGGCGAGCTGCACCATTGGTACCTTAGTTGGGCTCCCTATACGGCCATGGAACGTGAGAGTGGTGTACCAAAAATGAAACGGCGGCGCCATGCGAGCTGCGCCGCTGGGACCTTCGGTGGCGCCACCTATAGGGCCACGAAACGTGTCAAGGGTGTGCCAAAATGGGGCGGCGACGCCATGCGAGCTGCGCCACTGGGACATTAGGTGGAGCTCCTTGTGGGGCCACGAAACGTATGAGCGGCGTGCCAACATGGGGCGGCCGACGGGTGTGCCAAAATGGGGCGGCGGCGCCATGCGAGCTGCGCCACTAGGAAGGAGGAGGCGGGAGGGAGGGACGGAGGGAGGGAGGGGAGGGAGGAACGCGGGGCGCTGTCCCTTACTGGGTGGTTGAAACGCAGGGAGGAGGGAGGAGGAGAGAAGGAGGAGAGGAACGCGGGGCACCGTCTCTTCAAAACGAGGACCCAACACCACAGGATGGTTAAAACAAAACAAAAAAATAGCCTGGCGAAGGACCCAACCATATGCGGTTGTGAATACCCCAACTGTGAATACCATCTTCGCCCGCGCTCCCTATGTGGCCACGACTTCCCGCCGGAGCCTGACATGCTCAGGAACACGTTCGTGGCCGTTTCCGCGGGCGCCGACGACGACAAGGACAGCGTCCCTCTGACCGAGGAGCAGAAGCAGAAGAGGGCTTTGAGAGCCATGAGGGAGGAGGTGGCGTTGCACGTCGACAAGGCGGAGTACGACGCCCAGGCGCGGTTGTTGAAGCAGCACAACTATGGGGCCACGATCCTCGTGAGGGGTGTGCCGCAATGGCCCGAGGCCGCCATGCGAACCCTGCCACTGGCGCCTTCGGTGTAGCTTCTGTGGGGCCACGATCCTAATGAGGGGTGTGCCGAAATGCCCAGAGGCCGCCATGCGAACCTTGCCACTGGCGCCTTCGCTCGAGCTCCAATGGGGCCACGATCCTCGTGAGGGGTGTGCCGAAATGGCCCGAGGCCGCCATGCGAACCCTGCCACTGGCGCCTTCGGTGAAGCTCCCTTTGGGGCCACGATCCTCGTGGGGGGGGTGCCGAAATGGCCCGAGGCCGCCATGCGAACCCTGCCACTGGCGCCTTCGGTGGAGCTCCCTATGGGGCCACGATCCTCGTGAGGGGTGTGCCGAAATGGCCCGAGGCCGCCATGCGAACCCTGCCACTGGCGCCTTCGGTGGAGCTCCCTATGGGGCCACGATCCTCGTAGGGGTGTGCCGAAATGGCCCGAGGCCGCCATGCGAACCCTGCCACTGGCGCCTTCGGTGGAGCTCCCTATGGGGCCACGATCCTCGTGAGGAGTGTGCCAAAATGGCCCGAGGCCGCCATGCGAACCCTGCCAGCGGAGCCTTCGGTGGAGCTCCCTATGTGGCCACGATCCTCGTGAGGGGTGTGCCAAAATGGCCCGAGGCCGCCATGCGAACCCTGCCACCAGGGCCTTCGGTGAAGCTCCCTATGGGGCCACGAAACGCTGTACTGGGTGGGTGAAACGCAGGGAGGAGGGATGAGGAGAGGAGGAGGAGGAGGAGGAGGAGGAGGAGGAGGAGGAGGAGGAGGCAGCGGGAGGAGAAACGCGGGCGCTGTCTCTTCAAAACGAGGACCCAACACCACAGGATGGTTGGGAACAAAACAAAAGCAAAGCAAAGACAAGGCAAAGCAAAGCAAAGCAAGTCAAAGTAACTCAAAGCAAAGCAAAGCAAAGCAAAGCAAAGCGAAGCAAATAAACAAACAAACAAACAAACAAACCAACAAACAAACAACCAACCAACCAACCAACCAAACAAACCAACCAAACCAACAAACAAATAAACAAACAAACAAACAAACAACATAAAAAAACGGAAGATGTCGTAGGAGGTGACCCTGGCCGGGTGGGGGTGGGGTGGAGACACAAGTGGGCCTCCCAGGGCCGAGGTTTCTCCCAGAGTGGCGCGAGGAGTTCGGGGCACCTCCGCCTGCAGCAGCGCCTCCTCGCCAGGGGGGCGGTGCGCTGCAGTCTTGAACCAGGGTCTCTACGCCCAAGGCTTCGGGGCCTCTCCAGGGATGACGCGGCTCGCCCGCAGAAGCGGCTGGAGGTGGACCCGGCGCTCCCAGGGGCGCCTGGATGGACTCCAGAGCTAGGAGCTCCCAGGGTGGCGCCACAAGCTGAGAGGGGGACCTTGGGACAGGACCACCTCTGGCAACCCCCGACCAGGTGGGGGGAAGGGGAGGAGGGAGGGGGAGGGAGCAGGGAGGGGAAGGGAGGGGAAAGAAGGGATGAGTGGGAGGGAGGAGGAGGAGGAGGAGGAGGAGGAGGAGGAGGAGGAGGAGGAGGAGGAGGGAGGGGGAGGAGGGATGGAGGGAGGGAGGGAGGGAAAGCGGAGATGATCCACAGTGCCCTGGGCAGGTAAGCGCCAGCAGGCCGCTTCTACCGTCACAACGAGCATCACCACTATCACGACCACCACGTCGCCCTCTCCCACCATGACACCATACGGCTACCACCACTGCCGCGGCGGCGGCTACGACACTAGCCAGGGGCCACGGCAACCACGCCAGCGACCACACCCCGACCACTATCATGACCGGAGACACCAGCGACCTTCGCCATGACTAACACGACCCACGACCACCACCACGACCACCACTAGCACGCCCACCACCAGCTCGACCACCGCCAGTACGACTACCACAGCTATGACCACTCATTACCACGACCGCCACTGCGACAAACAGCATGACCACCACAACCGCCCCCGCCCCCCGCCCCTCCTTCCTCTCCCTTCCCTTCTCGCGCCGCCTCTGCCGCAGCGCTCGCCTCGCGACTCCTCCTCCACCTCCTCCTCCTCCTCGTCCTCCTCCTCCTCCTCCTCGGCCCTCAGGCTATGCTGGCCCAGCCTGTGCCCGAAGACGGCTCAAGGCTCGCCCTCTGGCAGGTTCGAGCGCAGGCTTAGTTCATACCCCGCTCGATCCAGCTCTTGGCAGACCCAGACCCACCTCACACGCTGGGCCCCAGTGGCCACTCGTCCACAAGGTGGACGAGGGCCAGGGCCGCGGGAGGGGGAGGAGGAGGGCGAGGGCGAGGGGGAGGGAGTTGAGTTGTGCCTCTCCCCGCCCGCCCAGCCGGCGGGAGCCTGCTCACCCGACATGGCCAGCGGCAGGTCCCCGTCGAAGCCGAAGGGAAAGAAGCGCTCGCTCGGCAGCGTGGCCCTCCCGAGCAGGTCGTCCTCCTTGGGCCACACGTCCTGGGCGGGCATGGCCGCGGCGGGCGGGCAGCCCAAAGGGGAGGGCGAAGAAGGGCGAGGAGGAGGACGAGAAGGATAGGAGAAGAGGAGGAGGGAGGGAGGGAGGGAGAAAGAGGAGGAGAAGGACGAGGAGTACGGGGAGGGGAGGGGGAGGAGGAGCAGGAGAGAGGGGAAAGTGAGAGGGAGGAAGGGAGAAAGTGGGAAGGAGGAGGAGGAGGAGGAGGAGGAGAAGAAGGAGGAGAAGGAGGAGAAGGAGGAGGAGGGAGGGAGGGAGTAGGGAGGTCCTTCTCCTCCTCCTCCTCCTCCTCCAAATCCAAATCCACATCATTATCATCATCATCATCATCATCATCATCATCATCATCATCATCATCAGCAGCAGCAGCATCATCATCATCAGCATCAACATCATCAGCATCATCAGCATCATCATCATCAGCATCATGATCGTCATAATCATCATCAGCAGCATCATATCCAGTAGCATCATCATCAGCAGCATCAGCATCGTCGTCAGCAGCATCAGCATCAGCACAATCGTATTATTATCATTAGCGCTATTGATTATATATGGTACCATTCATAGTATTACTATAAGTAAGGTTAGTTTCATTATCAGTATCATTGCCATTAAAATTAATAGTAGTAGTCTTTTCGTATTATTAATAGTACTCGCATTATGACTCGTATTAGTAGCGTTAGTCTGATCAGTCCTATTCGTATGAGTATTCTTATCATGTTTAAAAAATGTTAGTGATAGTATTATTACTATGACTCATATTATGTTTGCAATGGCATTATTACTCGTATTATTCGAATTACCATTATTCATCATCATCGGCAGCATAACCATCATCAGCATCATCAGCATCATCATCATCCGCAGCGGCAGCATCATCATCAGCAGCAGCATCATCATCTGCAGCAGCAGCATCAGCATCATCAGCATCGTCATCATCATCATCATCAGCAGCATCATCGTCGTCATCATCATCACCACCCCCCTCAACACCACCACCACCATCTCCCCCTTGAAAGCTGTGATCCTAGAAAAATGCGGGGGCTCCCCTTCAAACAGAGCTCTCGCCTGGATGGCAGGCCCATGTGGCGCCCGTCTTCCAAGGGAGCGCTTCCCGTAATGAAAACGCCCCTGAGGCCTGAAGAGGGGACCTGGAAAGTAGGGCCGATTGCAACATTGTTGATGCGTCCTGGAATTCTGGCCGTGCTCCTCCACATACAGGAAAGGAACCGGCCACGTCCTGGCTGGTGTGCCTCAGCTGAGGACTGGCGACCGCTTGGGGAAAAGCTGGCACTGGCAATGCAAAGCAAACTGCGTCAATGACAGCCGAAGGCCGAAATGCTAAGCAGCGTGGCAGTACCGGCTAAAGGGCAAAAGCCAGAGGCATGTCGAGCCTACCATGGTGCAGGTCAGCTATCGTGGCTGAGATCCAGGGATACGGCGGCCTGGTGGGGAATGTGCAATGCTAGGGATGCAGCTCACACTCCATCCTGTTGCGATGACGCTGGCAGATCCATCCACTGCTGAGCCACGATTCGCGGCATGAACCGCACTCTGAGCGTTGTGAAAGAGGAATGCTGCTGTCCACAGCGGCCACCAACAGCATGAAAGCGGGTATTGACCGTGTTGATTTCAATGGTTTCGAGGAAGGGCTTACACGAGCCGAAGTTCATACAAATGACCCTGCGAAAACCACAACGTTGATCGCAACCTTCGTTCACAAAGTGGGCCGAGGGGGTCCAGCGCTGCGGGCAACGGTAAGCGATAACGCCTGTGACCTGCTGCCAACTCTGAAAGCCTTCGGCAAGCTTGCTGTCAAAGGGACTGATGTTCCAGCTAGACGCCGAGTCACTAGGCGAACGCAGAGCATCGAAAATAGACGCACTATTGACATTGGACCAAGCGTAGGATGGTTGCCCAAGAGTAGGAGGGAGAAAGGAGGAGAGAGGAGAGAGAAAGAGGAGAAGTACGAGGGAGGAGAAGAAGGGAACGCGTCCTCCTCCCCCCTCCTCCTCCTCCTCCTCCTCCTCCTCCTCCTCCTCCTCCTCCTCCCCCTCCTCCTCCTCCTCCTCCTCCTCCTCCCTCCTTTTCCTCCTCCTCCTCCTCCTCCTCCTCCTCCTCCTCCTCCTCCTGCTCCTCCCTCCCCCTCCATCCCTCCCCGTGTCCTTATCCATGACTGTGAACTCCAGCGGCGCGCCGCGGTGCCAATCGAACTCGACCGTCTTGTTCCACACGGGCTCCAGGCAATCGTCGACGACGTCAGTGGTGAACCTGCTCTGGAGGCTCCCGGGGACCTCGCAGATGCAGTAAGGGTCGGATTTGCCGAACCAATCCGCATTCCTTTAGAAGACAAAGCAGCATAATCACCAACTTTCGGAGCTTCCCGCGGATGTCTCGGATCGAGGCCCGCCCCCCTTCCTCCTTGGCGAGCGGAGCGCGCCAGGAGGAGCGCGCAGCCTGCGGGGCCCAGTGCCGATCCGAGAAAGCCGTGCGGAGCCCAAGAAAGCCGCGCGGAGCTCCGAAAGCTTATGCTTGTGCCGCTTTGTGTTCCCCTCCGATCCTCAACCCCTTGGCGCTCACGACGCTGACCCGGAGCCTGTGCACCCCCGCGCCACCGGGAGCCGGCGGCGCGCTGGGCGGCGACGGCGGCCTGGAGCTGGAGCTGGGCGGGGCTGCGGCGCGCAGCGCCGCCTCGAAGGCGCCAGGTGGCATGGTGCCCGTGGGTGGCCCCAGCGACAGACCGTCGCTGTTGGCGGTCGACGCGAGGTCCTCAGGGGGGCGCCAGATATGCACCAACACCGAGCCCGGCCAAGCCCATCTAGGCCCAGGACCGGCCTGGGCAGGAAGGCATGTACACCGATCTTGGGCCCAGCATCGGCCTGGCCAGGATCGGTGTGGGTGTGCAGTTGGTGCCCTCCGGGGTCCTGGAAGGCCCCGTGCGGCAGAGTCCCGACCGGCGGCAGCATGTCCCCGTCGAAGGCGCCAGGCGGCAGCGTGTCTAGCGGGGGCGCGCACGCGCCCCCGGCGTGGTGGAAGAGCTCGCCCATCTCGTGCCCCAGGCTCCCGAGCGCCGCGGCGGCTCGTGACGCGGCACCTTCTGCCGCGGGGCTGGCGGAGTGGGAGGCACTCTCGGCACCTCGCTCCGCAGCGCCGGCGCCGCCTCCACCGTGGAGGTGGAACAGCTCGCCGATGTGCCCGACGCTGCCGAGCGCCGCAGCGGCTCGCGACACGGCACCTTCGGCTGCGCGGATGGCTCCCACGGCCGCGCGCTCGGCAGCGACGGCGCCGCCCCTGAACGCGTGCTCGACCGCCTGCTCCGCCGCCACCGCCTCGCTCCAGGCGCGCTCGAGGAGCGGTTCTTCGGCGTGGCCGGGCGGCCTACCGTCGGCGCCGCCCCCGCCAGTGTAGCAGCTGCCCACCTCCTCCGAGATCCGATGTACTGCTTTGTTTAATGAGGAGTCCCCAGGAGTCCCGACCCTTTCCCAGGGGCCAGCGTTGCATCCTGCGTCGTTTTCTGCCGGCCCTGAGGGGCCCGGCGAGGGCCCCCCGAGGCCGAAAGCTGCGGAAAACCACCCCGCTCGACTCTTCGACACGCTAGGAGGTCTGGGAATCCTCGTCGTCCAGGTACCAGCAGGCGCGCCGCTCGAGGACCGCTGGGGGCACGTGCGCGCTGAACTCCACGGCCACGCTCAGCTGCAGCGCTGGTGGCCGTGCGCCCGGTGGCAGCCCTTCGGCGCCAGCGAGCACGAGGGGCCACTCGCCTCGGAGGCCGCGGGGGCCGAAGTCCTGCGCGCGCAAGAGGACCGCGCCCAGCAGTCCCTCGTCGACGCCTGCGGCGCGCTCGTCGACCACCTTCAGCTCCAGCATCTCGCTGCCGACGTCGTCCATCTCGAGGACCTCGTCCCACGTTGGGTCCAGCTCTTGGCGCGCAGCCCTCGTCCGAGACCTGGTCCAAGGCTTCCCTGGAATCTCCCCCAAGACGTAGGCGTCGGGCAAACCATCGATCAAAGTCTGCAACCCGGTCGCACCATGTAGCGTAATGCGCAGCCGCTGCATCCTGCACCGCCGCCTAATGCCCAGATTGGCGAGAGAGCGAGAGGTGGGAAGAGAGAGAGAGAGAGAGAGTGAGGGGGGAAAAGAGGGAGAAAGAGAAAGAGAGAGAGAGAGAGCAGACAAAAGACAGACAACATATACAATGTGTGTATTGTGTACAAGAAGAAAGACCGACAAAGAGGTCGGAACAAAAGATAAGTGGGACGAGAGAGACCCAGGCGCCGGCTGGAGCTTGAGCCAGTCACACACATCGCTTATGTTTAAATACATATATGTGTTTTCACTGCTATACAAGCAAGTATACACGCAACTGTACATGTATACATATATATGAACACACATAGATGTACGTCTAACTACATGTTAGTGTCTTTCTCTGTCTCTCTCGCTGTCTCTCTCTCTCTCTCTATCTCTCTCTTTCTCTCGCTGTCTCTCTCTCTCTCTCTCTATTTATCTACATTTATGTCTATACATATGCATAAAAGTATATATCATTATCTCTCTTTCTCTCTCTCTCTCTCTCTCTCTCTCTCTCTCTCTCTCTCTCTCTCTCTCACTAATGATATCTCTGTCTGTCTCTCTCTGTCTCTCTCTCTCTCTCGCTCTCTCTCTCTCTCTCTCTCTATATATATACATATATACATATATACGTATCTCCATATATTTATATGTACCTCTATTCCTCTCTCTCTCTCTGTCTCTTTATCCTCTCTCTTTCTCTCTATCCGTGCACCTCGCCCTCTCTCTCTCTCTCTCTCTCCCTCCCCTCCTCTCGGTCTCTCGATCTCAGTTGCTATATCTCTCTAGAATATATACCCATACCTTTTTTACTATCATGCAAAAATATGTGAATGTGTAATCTAGATATATATATACCCCTACATACGCACATGCACAGAATCGCGTTTATGTGTAGTCCCTCTCTCTCTCTCGCTTTCTCTCTCTCTCTCTAGCTGTCTGCCTCGCACACACACACACACACACTTGTTACGTCAGCAACTCAGCAGAGTCATTGCGATGGCGATCCAGCAAAACGGTGCCTCTCTCTCTCTCTCTCTCTCCTTCGCTCTCTCTCTCTCTCTCTCTCTCTGTCTCTCTCTTTCTCTCTCTCTCTCTCTCTCTCTCTTTCTCTCTTTCTCTCTCCCTCTCTCTCTCTCTCTCTCTCTTTCTCTCTCTCTCTCTCTCTCTCTCGCTCTCTCATTATCACGCACACACATACACACATACATGTACACGTACACATACACGCTATCCGCCACCGCGCCTGCATGATAGCATAGTGATAAAAAGGGAGTGATGCCTCAAAGTAGTACCCGCTACCGCGGATCTGGGCACAGAGCGGGCGTGTCCTCAAGTCCTTTTCCGAATCCTCTAAGCCTCAGACCTGCCTCCTGAACAGTCTCTAGAAGGCCCCCACCCAAAACTGCCAAATCTCTCGGGGTTTGGCGCCGCTCCCCCCTGCTCCCCGCCGCTGCTCGCATGACTTCTTCAGACCCAAAGGGGGCCACAAGACGGGCCATCACAACTTTCGAGGGCTGCTGGGGGGGCCCAGCGGAGTGGGGTCATACGCAGATTCAGATTAGAACTCGCCATCCCTGGGGGGCTGCGCTCTGCGAAACTCTCACCACTTTCGAGGGCTGCTGGGAGGGGGCCCGCGGAATGGGGTCATACGCAGATTCATATTAGACCTCGCCATCCCTGGGGGGGTGCGATCTGCGAAACTGTCACCACGTTCGAGAGCTGCCGGAAGGGGCCCAGCGGAGTGGGGTCATGCGCAGATTCAGATTAGACCTCGCCATCCCTGGGGGGCTGCGATCTGCGAAACTGTCACCACTTTCGAGGGCTGCTGGGGGGTCCAGCGGAGTGGGGTCACACGCAGATCCAGATTAGACCTCGCCATCCCTGGGGGGGCTGCGATCTGCGAAACTGCCACCACTGTCGAGGGCTGCTGGGGGGCCCAGCGGAGTGGGGTCATACGCAGATTCAGATTAGACCTCGCCATCCCTGGGGGGCTGCGATCTGCGAAACTGCCACCACTTTCGAGGGCTGCTGGGGGGCCCAGCGGAGTGGGGTCATACGCAGATTCAGATTAGACCTCGCTGGCCCCGGGGGGGCTGCGATCTGCGAAACTGTCACCACTTTCGAAGGCTGCTGGGGGGGGCCAGCGGAGTGGGGTCATACGCAGATTCAGATTGGACCTCGCCATCCCTGGGGGGGCTGCGATCTGCGAAACTGTCACCACGTTCGAGGGCTGCTGGGGAGCCCAGCGGAGTGGGGTCATACGCAGATTCAGATTAGACCTCGCCATCCCTGGGGGGCTGCGATCTGCGAAACTGTCACCACGTTCGACGGCTGCTGGGGGGGTGCAGCGGAGTGGGGTCATACGCAGATTCAGGCCAGACCTCGCCATCCCTGGGGGGCTGCGACCTACGAAACTGTCACCATTTTCGAGGGCTGCTGGGGGGCCCAGCGGAGTGGGGTCATACGCGGATTCGGCTTAGAACTCGCCATCCCTGGGGGGCTGCGATCTGCGAAACTGTCACCACTTTCGAGGGCTGCTGGGGGGTCCAGCGGAGTGGGGTCACACGCAGATCCAGATTAGACCTCGCCATCCCTGGGGGGGCTGCGATCTGCGAAACTGCCACCACTTTCGAGGGCTGCTGGGGGGCCCAGCGGAGTGGGGTCATAAGCAGATTCAGATTAGACCTCGCCATCCCTGGGGGGCTGCGATCTGCGAAACTGTCACCACGTTCGAGGGCTGCTGGGGGGCCCAGCGGGGTGGGGTCATGGAGCATTCCAAGAGGGCCCAAAATCGGCTCAGAGAGGCCCCCCAAATGGCTTCCGACGGCGTCGGATGGGCCAGGAGCCCACCAAGACGGCCGAACATGGCCCTAAGATGGCCCAAGACGGTCCAAGAGGCCTCCAAGAGGGCCACGAGGAAGGCCCGAAAAGGCCCAAATCATTGATTTCCCATGAGTTCCTGAAGGAGTGTGGCATTTGCTTTTTTGTTCGGCCTTCCGACGGCCCGAGACGGCCCAAGGGCCCCCAAAGATCGCCCAAGAGGCCCAAGACTGCAAGTCGTTGGCGGGATACTTTTTTTGATTCGCGGCCCGCAAGGAAAGGCCCAGAGGGCGGCATGAACGAGGCTGGGACACAGCGCACGGGAAGCAGATAATTAACGGCGCAGCACCGTGCCGGCCAAGAAGCAGCCGAGCGCGTGCCAGCCGCAGAACCCCCCCCTGTCTCGAATCTGTCCGTCCACTGCTGCATGGGCTTGAGCTTCCTGCGCCTGGTCTTAATCAAGAACGCATCCAGCTCCTGCCCCACGCCCGGGGCCGCCTGGCGCGAGCAGCGGCGCCCCAGCCATGCCAAGAGTCGCTCCACCCCGTCATCTCTCGAGAGCCAGCCTGACTTACAGCGCCCCACTGCAACCTCAGCTCTGCCCGTGAGCCGCGCCTCGGGCCTCGGGCCACACAGGTACCTGTCTTGTCTCTTCGTGCACTCCTGGTACTGGAGGGCCTTCCGTCGATACGTCCGCGAGGCCTTTGGATATCCATCCCAGCCTGGCACCTTATCGCCACGATGTTCCTCCTTCATCGCGGTCCTCCGTGGATCTTCGCGTCGTCAACCACGAGCTCCTGCTACCATACGAGTCGTTGGCGGAACACGCACAGCATCTCAAACTCGTTTTCCTCTCACGCGGTCGGCCGTCCGACCGGGCTCTGCTCACAGAGCCACCATCAAAACATGTGCCCGCGAGCACAAGCGAGGGGGCGCTCGCTTGACAGAATGGCAAACGGTGGCATAAAACCTGCAACAGATTGTCACACACGCACGTGCATGTTACAACGGTCCCACCACGGAACCCGCGCCCCTAGAACTTACCCAAGAAAACTCCAGAGCATCGTAGGGCACACCACTTCGGGCCCCGCACCTAAGGACCTGTACACACGGTTGGCTCATATGCATCATGAAATATGGATGACTTGCTCAGGCTTGCCCTCTGAAACTTGCACGGATAAGGGTTCTCCAAGCTGAGCATGGTTCAACCCATAAACTCTCCGTCACTGCTGTAATCAGAAACCGCCTCGTACTCTGGGAAACCCACGGGACTGGTTCCAGTACCTGCTGAAGCGCACGTGGCACCGTCTCCTGCATCCTCCTGGCGCAGCACTCCAGGAGGGACGCTCTTGAACGGAAGGATCCCCGCGGCCTTCCGCTTCTTGGCACTCTGGTACTTGGCGTCGTAGACCAGCTTCCACCTGTGGCCACTGTTGTAGTACATCCTCAGCTGTCCGGGCTCGTGCCCCTTCGTCAAAGAGTTCGCCAGCTGAGCGTCTCCGTGTACCCAAAGCACCCAGTTGTTGGACGCTGCCGATCCCTCTTCCCTGACTTCCATGATATCATGCTCACGTCTGACTCATCTCCCTGCAGGGTGCGTAGTGGGGCCACCCCTGTGACAAGTCCCCTGGTGGATTTTCCGTCGGGGCGGTTCGCTTCCGAGGAATCTGACCACCCGATGGGAACGAGCACCTGCGCGCTGGAATGGCTGTGGATGACCACGGGGAGGTCTGCTCCCGCCCGCACCCTGTCCACCAGGCGGCTCGTGTCCAGGAGGGTCTGCACGGTGGATGATGGCATCGTGCTGAGCAACAGGCTCGTGTCCGCCGAGTGCACGGGGCCTGACTGCTCGGAGCGCCAGCCGATGGCGCCCAGGATTGCCCTCAGCTGCCCCTTCTCCTTGTCGGTGGTCTGGGCGTCCTTGTTCTTCTTTCGCTCCGGGCCCAGGACTGCCTTCTCGATGGTCTTGACATACTCACTCTGGTCCGTCTTGAAGCTCATATCTGGCAGCTGCCTGATCTGGACACCAGTCTGCATGAACTCGTCGGTCTCCCATGCCTTCAACTTGAATCGCTCTTCGATCTTCTTCCTGGTTTCGACCCACCTGGGGTCCGTCTCCTTCCCTCCGAGCAGGAAGTCATCCACGTGGGACCCTGCGATAGCCACAATGTCCAGGTCACCCTTCGCCGCGATCAGCTCGCCCATCACCTCGGATCCGGTGAACTGACCCAGGGCCTCCTTCGTGAAGCTGGCGCCCTGGCCGCGGGATTGACCGTAGAGCACCCAAACGCATGGGTCCATCTTCATCTGCGTCCAACCGAACTCCTCCAGGGCCTCGCCCACCGTCATGAACCACTCGATTGCCGCCTCCACGAGCCCATAGACTGCCTTTCGCAGTCTCATCGCAACCCCTTCGGGCATCCCCAGGGCGACGGCCAGCTCCCTCACGGGCATCACGAACAGGTCGTGCTTGATCTCCCGGTTCTGGGCAAACGCTCCTGTCACGTCAGCCTTGTACCCCTTGCACCCGAGCCACGCCATAGCCTGCAGTACCAGGTGCCGGGAAGGTCCTGGTCATGGTTGGAGCGGTCGTCGGCCGGTGCTCGCACTCAGGGCCCATGTAACCCAAGACCACGATCCGGGCCTTGGGTTTCTTCTCGCTCGTGGTCTCGTCCACCTTCCACTCCAGGATCCACCGCATGCGCATTACATCCCCTGGTGGCGGGGTGACCCCGGGCGGCAAGGATTCCAGCGCGGAGGATATCACGCACTTGTTCACCTCGGTGGCCTTGGCGACGCTGAACTTCTTCACCTCCTCCGGGGTGAGGGTTCACTCTGAGATCTCTCGCTTCCCCCTTTTAACTGGCCTGCCATGTAGGTGCTCATGCGTCTCGTGGCTTGCTTCAGGGGTTTTCCTGCCAGGGGCAGCTCGACCGAGACCTCCAGGGATGTCCCCTGCCGTGCCCAGAAGGATCGTGCATCTGGAGATGCCTTGGCCATGAGGGCAGCCCTCTCCATCATGATGTCCTCTGCCTGCGCGGCCTGGGCTGCCTTCACGATGCTGGCCACTCCTCCTGGCGGTGGAGCATTCTTCCGAATCGCCCTGCGCACAAGGATCTGGTTGCGCTCGGACCCGGTCTCATTCGGCGGCTCCTCGCGGCGCGTCTTCTTCACCGGAGGTGCTGGCTCAGGCACCCCCTCCAAGGATGCGAGTTCCTCGTCTTGCTCCGAGAAGTCCAAGCACTCCTGCCGCATCGCCTGGTCCATGCATGCGTTCACGGTCCAAGGCGCGCCCTTGCCCGCCATGAGCTCAGCGGAGGCAATCTCCCGCGCGGGCGCAGCTCGGATCTGGCATAGATCCACCTTGATGATGCGTCCTGCCCGGACCAACCAGACCACAGGTCCGGCACGACGTGGATGCAGTGTCGGGTTTGCTCCAAGGTTACCGTCCACGGGCCGGCTCGTCTCCACCGCGAGCACCCGCGCGAGCCCTTTGAATCGGCCCTTGACCTCGCATTTCTCCTCGCGGAAATAGCGCACCCACATGCGAGGCGCCACGGCCTTGAGCGACTGGTTCTTGGCATTCTCTGCACGACTCAGGCGACGCAGATACACCTGCCTCAGGTACTCCTGCTCGGCCGCGCACATCCTCATGAAAGTTCTCGCCGTACTCCTTGTCGACCCGCTGGGCCTCAACGCAGGGCAGCTCGTCGAAGCAGCTATCGAAGAAATGGCCGCCCCGGTCAGGGGCCCTTCCCAGCGCGTGCTGCAACGGGGAATGGCCTCGCACATCATCCCAAGAGTTCCCGGCTGCTGTGGCGCGGGCCAGGGCCCCTTCGGTGGACATGTCCGGGCTCTCAGTCACGAGCTCGCCCATCGTCCCCTTGGTTGCTTGGATCGCCTCTTCAGCGAGGGAAATGTGCCAGTGAGCCCGGCCGGGGATCGGCTCGCACCCGATGGAGTCCGAGTCAAAATACTGGGCGGCCTGCTTGGACATCCAGGAGCCCTCGGGGCCCACCTTCACGCGCTGCGGCTTCCCGAAGTACGGCAGCCATCTTCTTCGTAGAAGCTCTTGAGGTCTGCCCAGACGGGATTCCTGCGGCGGTCCTGACCCACCATTTGGTATAACAGCTTAGTGACCCAGACCTTGCAGCTCTCGTCAAGGATCAGCGAAAACTTGGCCTTGAGCTTCGTCCAGGGGTGCTCCCACTCGAACTGGTCCGCCTGGATCTGCTTCCACTTCGGGGGCATGGCCTCGAGACTGACGGGCGGGTGCGTCGGGAGGTGGTAATTCGCCTCCTCGCACGCCTCGCAGTGGAAGTCCTGGGCCACTCTCATCACCATGGGGCTCACCCCCTTCCTCTTCAGCGCATTCAGCATGGACGCCTCGGAGCTGTGACCGGACCCTCGGTGCACAGATGTCAGCCACTGCATGATCTTCTGGCACTCCTTGGAGCCGGGGTCCTCGGCGGGTGAGTTCGACTCCCGTTGCCCCGCGAAGGCGCGCCCGTTGGTCTCATTCCCCGTAGACATGCTCCTCAATAACTCGTGGTAGTCCGGCGCGGCCTCCTCGATCATGGCCCGCACGGCCCCCCGGGCGAACACGTCCGCGCAGTAGCTTGTCGAAGCCGTGAGGCCCGCCCATGAGTTCACCATGCTGGTGACCTCCCGGGCACTCTGTGGCCATCCGAGCCGCCATCTTCGGTGAGGTCGTAGTGATGAGCCACTCCTTCAAGAGGGGCTCTCCCTTCTTATTCTTGACCCCGAGCTGGCACCCGGCCACCTTCACCACGGTCATTGAGCAGTCATCGATCATCTGGCGAATCATGGCATGGCCCCACCCTTCGCACTTGATGGGCCGCTCCCAGTGGGCGCGCCTGCCCTGGGCCACCTGGTCGTACACCAACTGCACTGCGCCCTTGTACTCTTTGATCGCTTGGAGCCGTCGTTTCATGGCCACCTCTGCCCCGGCCGGGTTGGAGGCGTTGAAACCGAGGGTCAGCGTGGACAGGGGACCGCACCGAGTGCTGATCCAGAGGTGGTCGGGCTCGGCCTTGTCCCCGGTCTCTCGGGCCTTCTGGTTACCCTGGGCCGCCCCGAGCTCGTGGCCGTTCCACGAGCTGACCCGTTGCACTGCCTCCTCGCCAAACTTCTCGGCCATCTTCGTGCTCAGGATGGATGCGGGACTACAGGCCAGCTCCATGAGCTTGGCCCCCCCATGTGCAATCAGCGCCTCGAAGTCCTCGGTGCTGTTGCTCTCCCTGATGCACTTCGCGAGCCATCGTTGCTTCCTCGGGTCGGGCTCCTTGACATGGTTCAAACCCCGGCCAGACCACTCTGACTGTGCTCCACTGCGATAAAACTGCCCGCGGAACTCGGAGCCCTCGGCGCCTCGAGGCGCTCCAGCCTCTGGTTGAGATGACCCAGAGCCGCCAGCATCTCCTTCTGGACCTGGCGGTTGGCTGTCAGCCCCTCCTGGTGGGCCGATCGCAACGTCTCCTCGTCGAGCTCGTCCTCCATCATCACGTCCATTGTGCGCCGACGAGATGACCTCGCGCCCCCTCGTGCCCTGGTAGGCTCCACTTGAGCTTCCACCGGGCCCTTGGTCATCTCCTGGACTACCTTCATCTCGTTGAGCCACGAGACAAACCGGGTGAGCTCCCAGCTGCTCGCGGTGCTGGCCTCCTTCTGGGCCCACTCGGCGTAGGACGGGTACTGGATCCGGACCTGCTGGCACGTCAGTGCCCCGTGCTTGCCGAAACCCAGGAAGTCCGTCGGTTCGGGCATAGTCTTCATCAGCGCGGCCTTGCGGATCTCTAGCTTCATCGCTGCGTTCGTCATATTCGGCGCGAGGTGGGCCCCGACCTCCTCTGCCTTCTGGGCCAGCTCCTGCTTCTTCATGGTGCTGATCCCCTTCAGCGTCTTCAGAGAGGCGCTCTCGGCCTTCGGGAAAAGGGTCTCCCTGATGGCGTGCCTCAGCTCGCCCATCGACCAGGCTGGGCTGATGGACAAACCCAGATCTCTGATCAGCTCCACCGCCTCCGCCTCGCGGAGATGATGCACTTCCCTGCGAGAAGCTGGCATTCCCCATCTCGGGCTTGCACCTGCACGCGGCACTGACGCAGGCCAGCTGGAGCGCTCCTCCGACGAAGCTGCTGCCGAACATCGGGCTGCCATCCGCTGGCAGCGGTCGAGTATATGTAGGTTCTGGGGGCGCAGACTGCACCACGTCGATCAATCCAGATGCTGGAGATCTCGCCGGGCTCGAGCCAGAACGGCAATGGATGCCCTGCTGGTCCCCCTCCGTATCTGCCTGCGGTCTCCCGGGGTCTCGGACCGTTCGGAATCCCTCGCTCGACCCAACGGTGATGCTGACGACGCGAGGGGAGGGAAGTAGGTGTGAGTATTATCCATATTTCCTCGGACTGGTCGTCTCCGAACTGCGCCTGCCCATTGCTGCGGCCGCACCCGGCCTGCCCCACTCAGAGACGTGCTGGCTGATATTCTTGAAGTTCTGCAGCCTGACGGGGCCCTGCACTCGGTCCTCTAGGACGTCGTCCACCAGGCTCATGTAGTAGTGTCCGCCATCGGGCGACTCCTCCAGCTGCACGGGAGTTTTCGGGGCCAGCTTCACGAACACTGCGACACCCGTGTCGCAGTCAATGACTGCCCCTAGCTTCTTGAGCACCTTCTTCGACACGAGGATGGGGACGTCCTTCGCGAACCCGTCGATCGCGATGTACCCCTCGTTGCCCGCGCCCGCGATCCCGAACTTCACCTGTCCGCAGGCGCGCCCCCTCTCTCCGTTCCCGAAGCTGTACACCGGCTGGTAGCTGAGGCTCACGTCACGGAGCCTCGCGTCGCCATACTTCTCCAGGCTCTCGCGGGCCACGATGTCGAGCGCACGCTCACCACCCATGGTGTCTGCGCAGCCTAAGTCGACGATCCCCTTGCCCTCCAAGATGGCCTGTTCAGCGAACATCGCCTCGCTCGGCGAGTCCCCTGCTCGGCGACCATGGCGGCCACTAGGTTGAACTGCAGCTCCTTCGTGCGGGTGGCCATCTTCGCGCTCGCCTCGGGCGCGTTGTTCACCTCGGGGCAAAGGCGAAGATCGTGGCGGTCAGGGCAATCCTGGAGCCAATGACCACCTCCACACCTCGGACACTTCCCCTGTCCTTTGTTCGGGGGTTGAATCATCCCCCAGCCTCCGCACTGGTTGCCCATCGGCCGACGAGATCCCGCTGGGAATCCTCCGCCGGCTCCTCCGCCACCACCTTTCGCTTGACTCCCTGGCCGGCCCCCGCGGTAGAAGCCGCGGCTCAGCCGGCTGCCAGCCTGCGCTTCGCGAGCCCGGCGAAGGGTTCGCTGGGCCGTGCGAATTGCAGCCAATGCCTCGGCCTCCTCCTGCTGGGCGGCCATGCACGACTCGATATCCTCGTCATTGGCTTGGGCCATGTCATGTTCCTCATCGAACTCCTCGTGCTCCTGCTCTGCTGCGAAGCCGCCCGCACCCTGCCCCACGTCATCCTCGTCGAGCCGGGTGCGGTCATCATCTCCCATCTGCGCCGCGTAGGCCTTCGGGCATCGGGCGCGGCCATCTCGCTCTGCCAGGTCGTCGCCCCCCCAGGTCGAGATCAGGTCGTCGCGGATCGCGCCGACCTCCAGCGAGCCGCCGGCGGCAGTCACGATGGCCGACCTCTCCCTGGAGTCCAGGCCCGCGCGCGCGAGCATCAGCCAACCACGCACGATGCTCGGGGAGACCTCTGGCACGTCGTCCAGCTCCTCCTCGGCGTCATCGTCGTTGGTGACACTCCAGGTGCGCGACCCTGTCTCGTCTTCTCCTCGGCCGTCGGTATACTCGCATGTCCAGCTCGGCCCCTCGTCGTCCTCTCCATTCTCGACCTCGACCCATCTCCAGTGTCTGGGGGCCCAGCTCGATGTCGAGGGGGGGCTCGGAGTCGGGTGGCCGAGTGCACGCGCCAGCGCGCGTCGAAGTTACTGGTACCCGGTCTCGAATCTGTCCGTCCACTGCTACATGGGCTCGAGCTCCCTGCGCCTGGTCTTAATCAAGAACGCCCCCAGCTCCTGTCCAACGTCCGGGACCGCCCGGCGCGAGCAGCGGCGCCCCAGCCATGCCAAGAGTCGCTCCACCCCGTCATCTCTCGAGAGCCAGCCTGACTTACAGCGCCCCACTGCAACCTCAGCTCTGCCCGTGAGCCTCGCCTCGAGCCTCGGGCCACACAGTTACCTGTCTTGTCTCTTCGTGCCCTCCTGGTACTGGAGGGCCTTCCGTCGATACGTCCGCCAGGCCTTTGGATCTCCATCCCAGCCTGGCACCTTATCGCCACGATGTTCCTCCTTCATCGCGGTCCTCCGTGGATCTTCGCGTCGTCAACCACGAGCTCCTGCTACCATACCAGTCGTTGGCGGAACACGCACAGCGTCTCAAACTCGTTTTCCTCTCACACGGTCGGCCGTCCGACCGGGCTCTGCTCAAAGAGCCACCATCAAAACATGTGCCCGCGAGCACAAGCGAGGGGGCGCTCGCTTGGCAGAATTGCAAACGGCGACATAAAACCTGCAACAGATTGTCACACACGCACGCGCATGTTACAACGGTCCCATCACGGAACCCGTGCCCCTAGCACTTACCTAAGAAAACTCCAGAGCCTCGTAGGGCACACCACTTTGGGCCCCGCACCTAAGGACCTGTACACACGGTTGGTTCATATGTGTCATGTAATACGGATGACTTGCTCAGGCTTGCCCTCTGAAACTTGCAAAGACGGCCCCAAGAGGCCCCAGAGAAGGCCCAAGAGGCCTCCAAGACGCTCAAGATGGCCTCCAAGACGGCCCAAGAGCCCTCCAAGACGTCCTCCAAGAAGGCCGGAAAGCGTCAAAATAGCCTCCTGACGGCCAAAATGACCTTCAAGATGCCCACGTTTTCCCGAAGGCTTTCCAAACCGATTCGGGGAACACATGGTCCGATAGATTGGCAGGTCTGGCCTCAACGTTCGGCCACATAGGCGCTTCCAAACAGGCAGGGGGCGGCGGTGATTCGCCGCGGGCGTCTTCGATCCGCCGCCCCCTGTTGGCCTGCCACACGGGTGCCTGGCGCACTGGATGCTTTCGGTTTTGGTTTTGGTATTTTTCCAAAAGAACTCCCCCTGGGGCTTCGGCCCGTCCCGCCGGCCACCCGGAAGGGCGCGCAGAGATGCACAAAAGGTCGCTGCAAAAAGCTGTTCGCCTCCAGACGGCTCCAAAATGGCCTCCAAGTTCGCCCAAGATGATCCAAGATGGCCTCGAAGACGGCCCAAGACAGTTCAGGATGCCTCCAAGTTCGCACAAGAAACACCTAAGACGGCCCAAGACGGCCCCAGAGGCCTCCAAGAGGCCTCCAAGACGGCCCAAGAGGCCTCGAAGAGGTCATCCAGGGTCCCCAAGGACGGCCCGAAGAAGTCAAACTCTCTGATTTTCCTTAAGTTTTTCAAAGATTGTGGCTTTTCCTCCTTTTCGGGTTCCGACGGCCCGAGGCTGCCCACGGCCCAAGGGGCCCCCAAAAAGGCCCCAAGACGGCCCAAAAGGTGCCCAAGAAACCCCAAATAGCCTCCAAGACTGCCATGATGGCCTCCAAGATGCCTCCAAGACGGCCAAGATGGCCCCAAGATGCACCCAAGACGGCCCAAGATGGCCTCAAGATGGCCTAAGACTGCTCAAAAGGCCCGCAAGAGGCCTCCAAGGCGGCCCAAGAGCCCTCCAAGACGTCCTCCAGGAAAGCCCGACAGGGTTGAAAGCATGGACGTCCCGAGATCTTTTCAAGGCGGGGACACGGATGAACGATCGGCTGCGCGCCAATGCGCTCAGCAGTGAGGCACCATCAACCATAGAAAGAAAAATGAGACCATGTAAGTGCAGAGATGTGCACGCGCATTCTTGAGAGGGTTCGGGGGGGCGGGGGACCAGAGAAGCTATGTGATGCAAGAAAGAGCGGAGCCAAAGGGGCGACAGATTGAGAACCCCCTCTTGACTTCCTTCACGTGCAAGCACAAACCAGGACGTCCCGAGATCTTTTCAAGGCGGGGACACGGATGAACGATCGGCTGCGCGTCCATGCGCTCAGCAGTGAGGCACCATCAACCCAGGCCGTTCCCAAAGAAAGTTTACTGGGTGGGCGGGCAAGGGCGATTATGTAAAGACGCGCGACAATCGCTCAAGAGGACTTTGGCTAGCTTCCTATTGAGGGCTGGCGGATAAGCAGCGGCGATAGCCGTCCATTTCGCACCATTCGGGGCGTTGCCCTCAAGCACGATGTGATGACGGCCAGACTTGGAGCAAATTCCATTAATCTGACAACACCTACGGTCGAGACAACTGCTGTCCAAAACATCAACGTTGAGACACAGGAATCTGGTTCGCTTCCGCCAACGGGCCCCTTCTTGACACTGGTCGAGACACCTCACAATGGCCCCCCGATCTATAACCCCCTGAACCTCTCTCGTGAAAAAACACGCGTGAATTCACAGGGTGCTCGAGTATACAAGGGACCCTAAACTTTTCACAACATCTGATGATGGCCAACGCGGCCCGCATGGTCTTGTTCCCAGACGCCAGGCGGGCCAGCTGCTTTTCACTCAGAAGATGCCGTGGGAGTCCCCAAGGCTGCGAGGCGGAACGGATGGCACCCACTCGGTCGGCTGCGGCGGTCCAGGGCCCGCACGGCGGGGGAAGCATTGCGGCCAAGACGCGGCTCGCAGCGATGTCCGAGCACAGGCCTCTCAAGACTGACCGCGTGGTGAGGTCGCCGCTTGGCCCGTCCAGCGTGCCCCAGAACCTGACCGGCACTCCCATCGCCATCGCGGCGCGCCCGACGCCCCCCGTGCCGCTGAAGCAGTCCGCCAGGCAACGGCCAGTCAGGCGGGGCGGAGCTGCCGCAAGTCGACCAGCGAGGCGTGATCCAAAATGATGTCCGCGAGCTGAGCCTCGCAGACCAGGAACGCGCTTTGCGGGGCGCTGCTCAGCGTCGCCCGTGTGGTCGCCAGCCGGACATGTTCCTCGTAGAAGGCGACGCTGCGGGTGGTCTTCCACTGGCCGCGCGTCTGCCTGTCGGCCAGCCGCCGCCACCTTCTCGCCACGTCCAGTGAGGCCCCCGAGTGGCGCATCTGATGCGGCACCACCTTGGCCTTCACTCGCAGCCCCTGCAGGCACAGGCTGAACATCTGCCAGTACTCGGGGTACATGAAGTTCCACAGGCATTCGGGGTGCCTTTCCTTTCCCAGCATGGTGCAGCACGGGGTCCAAGAAGCGAATCCAGGGCGAGTCTAACTCCAGCGACACGTCGCCCAGGCCTGTCTCGTCCCGCAGGTCCTCCTCCTCCGGGAAGAGTCTCAAGGTCCAGAACTCGCACACGCCCCCAGCCCCCGGCACCAGGTAGGCCGGCTTCAGGAGCAGGAGGCTGCTGGGGCGGGCGTACATGCTCACCGCTATCAAGGTGAACCCCGCCCTCTGGAGGCCGCCCCAGCGCCAGCGCCCACGGCTGCCTCGTCCGCGGCGGCCCCAGGCGCCGCCAGGCCCAGAGGCGTCTCCAGGCCCGGGGGAGGCGCCGGGCGCCATAGCCCGAGAAGTCCGGGTTGAAGCGCAGCTCGCCCGCCATCAACTTCTCGGCCCAGGAGAGGTGGGTCCTGGCCTGGTACAAGCCGTTCAGGTAGGTCTCCAGCGCCGTGTCCACCACGGGGTCGTCCCAGCCCATCACGACCTCCTCGACGTCCATCGAGAGCCAGCCTCGACGGGCAAAGTCCCGCCAGCCGTCCCAGGCCTGCTGGTACTCGCGCTGCGTCGGGGCCCGCACCGCCTCCCGCTCTAGGAGGGAGAAGCCCTCCTCGCTGGCCGGCATACCGTAGTGGCAGGCTCGGCGCCGCTGTGACTGCGCGAGCCTGCGCTGCCGCGCGGCGGCGCTCACGACCTCGGGCTCGGAGCTCCCGCCGTCGGAGGAGCCGACGCTCTCTGGCACTCACCGCGCGGGCTCCGCCGGCACAGGCAGCTTCGCCAGGTCCTCCATCCTCTGCCCCAGGCTCCGTGGCAGGGGACGGCCCAACACGGCCGCCCTCAAGTGCCTCGACTCGCCCAGCTGACGCCCCCGCCGAGCCACCAGCAACGGCGCAGGCTCTATCGGCGGAGCAAGGATTAGCTGCCGGCCGCGCCACGCCCCCTGGCTGCCCGCCGGCGCCTGCGGGCCGGGCTTCGGCCGAGACGGCGCCAGCTGGCGGGGGCGCTGGCGAGGGCCCCGAGAGCGGCCACGCACGCCCGGTGCTCGGGGGCGCGCGGGCGGCATCGCGGGCTGCGGCGCCCCCGGGCGCGCGCTCGGGCGCGGGCCAAGCGGGGCCCCAGCCCGGGCCCACTCGTGAAAGCTCGAGCTCCAACAACTCAGCCAGAAGAGTGGACTTTGCGCCGTCGGGGTCAAACAGTCGCGAGGGGAGGTCAGCACAGTTGAGCTCGCTGGGCATCCATCGAATCGAACAGCGGATATTACGGCTCAGACAGACTGCGTGAAATCGACGAATCTGGATCAACAGGTTGAAACACGAACTTCTGCCTCGATTGAAGCTTAGCACGACCGACATATTGTCACACAGCAGGAGCTGTCGCATGTGGGACCCGAAGACCGCGGTGGCGATACGATGGATGCTGCTGACCAGGGCCCGGGCCTCCAGGGTGAGGATCCCTTCGGGGCGCTGCCAAGCTCTAGCGAAACAGGGCTCCCACAGGCTTGCGCGGAGCCCCTGGGCGGGCACTTCTGGAAAGTTCCCCGCAACGCCCCACTGGCCCAGCTCCTCCTCATCCTCGGGGAGGCCCTTGAGTTCCCACTTTCCACTCTCGCTCATACCGAAGCCGGCGGCACAGAGCGCGGCCCCCCGAGCGCTGCGCGCGCAGCGCCGCCGAAAGCGGGCCCGCTCAGGCACGCGCCCGACCGACTCCACCAGCTCCCGCGGCCAGAAGGCCCTTGCCAGTCCGTAGCCGTGGAAGCTGGCATCCGACTGCTGCGCCATTGGGTTCCAAGGCAGCCACCAGTCTGACTCCAAAAAGTACATCAGGGAGCTGAAGGCGGCCAGCTCTCGCCGCGCCTCGGCCCACAGCACGGAAGCGTCGCCGTAGTGCGCCCGCGCGAAGCCATACACTGAATTTAAAGCCGACAGGGTGCCGCGCGAGCAGAGGCCGCAGAAGGTCAGATGGCCCAGCACGGCTTCTACTGCCCAGCCCTTGACTCGGCGGCGGGCAAGAAGGCCCCGCACGGCCTGGCGGCAGCGCCAGAACCGATCACTGGTCACCCGAGTGCGCAGCCGGCCGCCGTCGATCTCGGTACCGAGCGC